TAGGGTTTTTTTCTGATGAACTAACCTACAGGGACCAGTACTGGTGACTTAATCTCCAATAAAATTTGCCATGAATTTGGTACTTACTAAAAAAACTGTTCACAGAAGGACGCACTTTGAGCACTATCTGACCTGAAAAGGTTACCACCATGAACTCACTGGGCGTAACCTCCTTGGTTTTAGCAAGATTTAGCGAGGTTGGGCTAACATGCCGTGAACTAGTGGCGGTGAGAGGTGGGAACTAGACAGGAAGTGCAGGCCGTGAGAGAGTGCGCGCCTGCCACTCCTCTAGTCCGGTCGTGCCACCTCTCGTTTAGTCCTAGGAATGTCCGCTGGATGGTGGTACTTCTATATGACGAATGTGTGATGAAAAGATGCGAGATGGCGGTACTCGGAGTGTTCACTAGATGAACGGACGGATAGACAGACGCACGGACGGATGGACGGGCTGACAGGCAGATGCACGGGCATATCAACGGTCACACAGACGGGCGCGGACAGATGGACGGACGCCTAGAACGACCAACGCAGAGACGGACAGATGAACAGAGGCATAGACGGACTGATGGACGCTTCGTTCCACTCATCATCATGCACTCCGTGGATACGCTGCGATTTGTTTTTTTTTGTGCTATTAATTGTGCAGGTGTTCAGTTAGGTTTTAGTTTAGTGAAGCGCCATCTCCTAAAGCTCATTTATATAGTAGTGTCCAGGCCCACCATCCTTGCTGGCGCAAGCGCTACATATCAGCTTATCGTTTCTGGTGATGCTAATGCCCATGTTGCTTTTGACGTCGCTACGCAACAGTACGCATGTGACTCTTAAACATATGTCTGTTCATACAACCCCAACACATATCTTTAGCGTCATTTCATAAAGCACAATAGCAAAATACAATACAAGTCACCTTCACTCCGCCTGCCTGGCATAACATTGATTCCCAAGTTACGTGGGATCGGCCAAATGTTTTTACATCTCTTAATATAACGCTAGTAGCCGGCCAAAAAGCAAGTCCTTGTGTGTTAGCTACTGGGGTATTTCGCTTTCGAATGCATATATTTAAATATTGATGCCGGTTCGATTTCAAACGAACAACAACAAAGAAATTGGCTTTATCAAAAACCAGAGTTTCACGAAAGCTTGTCTGGTGGGGAGGAGTAATAATGGCCAAAAGGTAAAAGCAAGACACCAACCTAAACACACTTTCGAAATAACACAGACGTGTCGGCCCCCGCACAGCAGCCGGAACGTCTAAAGTGTTGTTGTCGCGCCTTGCTTAAATTTTTTGTCCAGTCTAATCAGGATCTACAAAAAGAACAGCACCGTCTCCATCGTTTTTATTCTAACCAAGTGTCCCCACGCTGCTTCTTTGTCATCAGCACTGACACATACGCGCAGCATCATTCCCCCTTCAAAAAACACATCGTCCCATTGAAGCATGTTTAGAAAGCAGAAAAAACGTGGTCACTAAAGGTATAGCTTCATCCGAAACACGCGAACAAGTTCTGGCGAATGTCGTCGGCGCTTTGAACACTAGGGGCTGTCCGGAACGACCTCGCAATTAACGTCACTGATGCATCGGAGAACCTTATAAGTCCGCAACAATCTTTAGGAAAGCCCACGAGGACAAATGGCTGTCCAGACCACATTCTGCCACCCACGTTGTGCGAGACATGTTCGGGTTGGAAATTGTAGTGCCGGCCATCACAATCCTGTTCGGTGATTCTGTACCGGGTAAGTTGCCGTGCTTCTACTCGCTACGTAAGTACTTCAGCATCCGTCTCATGAGTGCCGTTTTTATAGGGTAGCATTGCTTCTAACGTTGTTGTAACGTCACGGCCGTAAATTAAACCGAATGACGTCATCCGAGTGGTCTCTCGGCGAGCCGTGTTGTTTCTGCATGTAATTTAGGGTAAAATTTCGTACCAGTTCATATGTTCTACATATGCGTGCATGCAGATCATGGCAGCCAGGGTCCTGTTCAGACGTACCGTCAGACCGTTGGTGTGGGGATGGTATGCCATTGTCTTTCTGTGTGCGGTACCACTTAACCACAGAAAGACGCCCAAGAGCTCGGTCATGAACGCAATACCTTGTCGGCGATCAATACTGCGGGAGCACCGTACATTAAAACGATATCATATAAATAACCGCATTACTTCAACTGATGTTGCCCGCCACAGAGCTCCTGTCTCAACATATCGGGGGAGGCAAACGGTGGCGATAATTATCCACCTGCTTACGGTTGTACACGTTCTAAAGGGGCCTAGAAAACCCATGCCTTTTGGGGCAAACGGTGTAATCGGCACATTAACATACTGTAACAGGCCAGCTGGCATTACGGGTGGTGATTCGCGGTGCTGGCAGTCCAAACATGTATCGTGGCAAGTCTCGGCTAGTATAGGAACTGTGCCTAATCGTTGTCAATGTCCCAGTGTAACCTAAGTAACCAGCGGTTGGTTCGTTGTGGCCGGCGTAGAGGATCTCGTGTCAAAGCAATGAGAGAACGATGAGTAAGTAGTTGCTCCCGCTAGATTTGACGTTCTTCCTGTAAGGGATCTCATTGCGTAATCACTATAATGCTAGCCCTCTTGATAGTAATGGCACGCAATGGTTGGTCCTGGGAATTGGGAATAAATCGCCGGTGATGGGCACAGTGTCCCAAGAAATGTCACTGATTTTTTTTCTTTTGGGGTCAGGAAGTTTGCTACGGTAGCAATTTTATCAAGATCAGCTTTGATCCCTTGGCTTCTGATGACGTGACCATGGAAATGAAGTTCATGAAAGCCAAAGACATTTTTTCAGGCTTCAGTGTAAGACCGCAAACCAAGAGACCGCAAACTTGTGTATTCTGTAAAAAAGGCGAACAAATAGCAGCTTGAGGCATTTTACACTGTAAACACGTACAAGATTGGGATGCCTTTTCGCGCAATAATCACGGAACGTGACTCGTGGCACTTTTGTGTGTCTGGTTTCTGGCAGACTTGCTTGTCTTCTTTATGTAAAGATGACCCGTACATCGCACCTAACTCAGAAACGATTGTGTAATTACTGCGTAATGACAACCCAGTTGATTGTGATGCTATGAGCATTGATGTAGAGGACCTCTTTTATTCTCTCCAACATAATCACCTTTGACCGCAGTGAAGGAATTCACTACCTGTCACAACGATGAACCTGCCTTCATGGGTCTAAGTGGTATATCAGTTAAATCTTTCACAGAACTTTTGCTCTTTTAGCTGGGATATTTATTTATTTATTTTCATGGTGAGGTGTACCTGCAGAAGAAAGTTGTATGTATTGGGTCTAAGGTGGCATTGGTTCTAAGCGATATTTTCCAAAGTAGAGTTTATCGGGCGCTCCGACTGGTTTACATGCCTCCGTAATCAAAGTTTATCGTTCTGCGGATGGCTATACTTCGTTTTTGCGTAAGCGAATTAAATATATGTCGGCAGGCATTAAAGAGTTTTGAACAGTGTAGTCTTGGCCTGAAGTTCACTTCAGAATACTTAATTGACCAATATGTCCAATTTTTTTACCTTCAGCTGCAGTTCTCGTCCAGGCATGTGTGTTGGTCCTGAAGAAACTCAATTATGTCACAGGAATTCTTGACAGTGAACCGGTCGTCTAATAAAAGTGTGTTAAATTGTTTCAACAAGTAACGACTCACCATTGCAAGCCACGTACTGTTTTCGCTGACAATGGTCCTAAAAGGCATCTCTTGTTTGTGAGTTTTAGCGCAAAAAATACAGACAGCTTATCAATATTGCACTCAATAATGCCCTTTGCCAGTCTAGTCAGTCCGTGCTCATTACACAAGGCAACAGCCTTAGAATTTACCTCGGGGGTGAAAACCCACACTTCCTTGAATTTCTTCCGTATCGCGTCAGTGGCCTTGACTTCAAAGATCTCTTTCTTCATGAGCGCAATTCTACCTTCTTAGTCCGACACCAGCACGTGCAAATCGTTCTTCCTGAGGAAGCACATACTCTATTCATGGGGTCATGCCCATTACGACTTTCTTGGGGGAGAACAGTTCTTCGCAAGCTATCAGTTCCATCTAGAACGCACCTCTCCTGGTATTAAGCCTTATCCCGGCTGCTCATGTGTCTGTTCAAGGAAAGTAGCTCATGCACAGGAATGGTAGGCTGAAAGCTAAATTTCGGCTCATTGTTAAGAACGCCCACCACCTTCTCTACTTGCATGCACCTCGCCCACCACTTGTAATCCTACCGTTCAGATGTCCCTCTTCCTACGCCTGGGAAGCACCTGAAGCCCCGTTTTCACTGGTATTCCGTTATTGAGCAGCCAGAAAGCCATTGTTTAGGCCGTAGGTTATGATCCTTACTCTTCTTGTGACCCTCATAGCTTCAACTTCATGCAGAGCAAGGGCCATAACCTACTGCATGAACAATGGCTTTCTTCCCGTGGAAGTCGTGAACCTGTTTGGGTACGTGATGCCTTCGGTGTGACATGCGAAGCGTGTGTTCAAGATTTTGCGCTCCAAACTTTGGCGGCAAGTTAGGATGATGTTTGACTGGATGAAAGTATTCTGCTTTAGCAAGAAACAGCCCATTGCTGCGCGCGTGGATCTTCAATGATTAAGAATTCTGGCTGCTCAAACAACAAAACACCAGTGGTAACGGTGCCTTTAGGTGATTCCCAGGCGTAGGAAGAGGGATATTCGAACGGTAGGATTACAGGTGGTGGGTGACGTGCAAGTACCAGAGGAGGTGGCGCGCGTACTTAACAATGAGCCGAAATTTCGATTTTAGCCTACCGTTCCTGTGCATGAGCTACTTTCCTAGAACAGACACATGGCCAGCAGGGCTAAGGCTGAAGACCAGGAGAGCTGCGTTCTGGATGGCACTGATAGCTTGGTAAGGACTGCTCCCAAAGGAAATCGTAGTGGGCGGGACCCCACGTATGGAGTGGTGTGCTTCCTCAGGAAGAACGATTTGTGCGGGCTAGTGTCCGACTAAGAAGGTAGATTTGTGCTCATGAAGAAAGAGATCTTCGAAGTCAAGGCCACTGACGCCATACGGAAGAACTTCAAGGAAGTGTGGGTTTGCGCCCCCGAGGTAAAGTCTAAGGCTGTTGCCTTGTGTAATGAGCACGGAATGACTAGGCTGGCAAAGGGTCTTAGTGAGTGCAAAAGAAATAAGCTGTTTGTATTTTTCGCGCTCAAACTCACAAACAAAATATGCCTTTTAGGACCATTGTCAGCGCAAATGGTACGTGGCTGGTAACGGTTAGTCGTTACTTCTTGAAACAATTTAACTCTTTCGTTAGACGACCCGTTCACCGTCACTAAATTCTGTGTGTGTTGGTGCTACACCCCTAGGTCTGTGAAACCTGTGCTGAACTATATTTCGGACCATGCCAAACTGGTTAAAAATGCCATTGAACTCTCTTGTTTTAGCTCTGCACTGAAGCAATCCTGCAAATTAGTTTAAAAAAGTTTTGCCGGGTAGGTCCAAAAACTGAGACAAGCAGGCTTCTCATGGAATGGGTGGTTAAATGTCTGCGAGAAGTTGATTAAGAAAATAAAAAGAGGTCCCTGTGATGGTTGCAGATAGAGGAGCCGCGAATCAGATATATGTCCAGCAAGATACTTGAAATGTTAGTCATATTCATAATTGTATATCCTGTACCAGCGCAGTTTTCTCATCCTCACCCTTGTCGTGCAGTCGTGTATACGTGGGTCAGACGTGTCACTGTCTGAATGTTAGACTTCCAGAACCTATTTATTCTCTTAAGGGCCACTCCCGCCTTCATCTGGCAGCCCACTGTAAGAAATGCGGCTGCGTGCCGCTTTTTGGTGATACTTTTGTATTGTTTTGACATAAGAACCAAAAAGTGCCCGAACTTTTGAGGCGGCGCATATTCACAAGAAATCTGAGTCCTGCGTCAGTGTTCCCTCTGCGGCCATACATGATATAGTTATGCTTTCTTGGTTTTGTATGACGTGCGTGCGATTCATGATGGGGCCCAGATTTTTGTTTATTTGGTCCCTCGTGACTTTCTCTCCTCACCCTTTGCCCTCTCTTGCTTTTTATTTTTCTTTTCCTTTATATATTGCCTAGGTCTTGCAGTAAAGCTTCAGTTGATAGTTTGCGCTTCTCTGTCCTTTTCTCTCATCTCGTGTTTCCACCCGTTTTTTTTTTCTTTTTTTTTGCGCAATACATTACGAGTTTGAAATAAGCATTCAAACTCCTCTCCCAGGTCTACCTCGATGGTTCATATAAAAAAGCTTTGTAACCGGGAAAGCTATACACATAATTTTCTGAAGCAAACTATGTTTCTCAAAACATGACAACACCAAAACGACATTCCTTACTGCCCAAAAAGCAGTCAAGTTCAACTCTCTTGTTTCTACCAGATCTTAAGTTGAAATGTATACAACTGTAGCAATTCAAACCGTGGCTTCACATGATGGTATCAGTCCGAAAAATTTACTTAATACACGAATACAACTCAGATAAAAAGAAACAACAGCTAACGAATTTCAAGTGCTTGACAGTTTATCAAGGTCAGTCGTTCAGCGGATGACAACCGCAGGTTCTTTCTCACTTTTTTGAACAAGAACTTTTTCGTTCCCATGCCACGCGAAGCGATAATTTATTTTCATTTGTCCATTTTCTCACGTCACGCAACAGTTTCCGGATTTGTATGGTCATGTTTTTACAGATTTAATCATTAGAGCTCATGTTACGTAAAACCTGGCGTTTTTCGATCAAATTGTTTCACAGAAAGAACTGTGAAAATCATACTGTATATAATCACAGGTACTCTGCCTCGCCGCGAAGGCAACCTATGTACCGTCTCGACATCAGTAGCTGCCAGTTCTGACAATTTCACAAATTTTGCTGTTTCATTCAGCTTTGTGATCACATTTTCATTACTGGTGACTGGTATTCAATGCACTTCAACGTTGAGCTTCCTGCTGCGCCATTCAAGGTTGTTTATAGATGCACTGAGTTGCTTATTATCGCTGGGCTTTGCATTTTCTTCGAGCTTAGCTACTTTCTTCTTCACGCTAGTTAGTTCTTTTTTTTTTTTTTGGCAATTTGACGACTCAGTGTGTCATCGCATTTTAAATGCGAAGCATTTCTTAGCGAACTTCCACGACTTTGAGCGTATGTATCTATCTATCTATCGATCTAGCCGCCTACGACTTCCAGCTCTCCTGGCCGTTTTGATATTGGTATTGATACCAAACTTGGTATGGCATAGCATGACTGTATGAAGAACGTATTTGACTAGGCATAACATGAAAGTTATGACATGTATGTCATGAAAGTCATGATTCACATTTCATGGTCCTACAGCTCTTGCGTTGGTTTCGTTTACATGGCATGTTGCAAAACTGGTATGGTATGGCATGATTTCATGCCGAACACAAGCGACAGACCCTAACATGAAAATCATGACATGCGTGTCATGTAACAACATGACTAAATGCCACGCTCATGATGCCCTCACGGCTGTTTCGCTAGCGTCACATATACCAAATTTGGTATTACAGTACATCAATTGATGACAAAGGTATCTGACTGGTGAAAACATGACAATCCCTAAATGCCTGTCATGTAACAACATGACTACATGCCACACTGATGATGCACTCACGGCCGTTTCGCTAGATTCACATAAGCGAAATTTCGTATTACGGGACGCCAATGGATGACGAAGGTATGTAACCGGTGCAAATATGATAATCATGATATTCGTGTCATGTGAGAACATGACTACGCGCCACAGTCAAGGCGCCAATACATTTCGACGTGACGGGGTGCGCGTGCTCACCGGTGTTCATTTCGTCGCGTTACGCCGGTATTGCCACGGCAGGCGCCGATCCTGCCAAACACTCGCAGGCGCGTGCCGTGCTGCGTTGCTTTGACGCATGTGCGTGTCAGCGCGTCCGGCGTCCCTCCGTCACGAAAAGAGGGAGACGCAGTGTTGTCTGGCTAACGCACCGGCGCGAAACACAACATGTTCCATTTCGCACCGGTTGCTATCGGGCCACGCTGACGGACGCTGGTCGCGCCTGGCGTCAGTCTATAGAGTGCTCGCATTTTGCTAACGTAGCGCCGCTGTGCCCAGCGTGCGCGCGCGTCAATGCTACATTGGAGTATGTTTGGCCCTTCAGGATGCGCTCGCAGCCGTTGTGTTAGCTCCACATAAACCAAATTCGGTGTTACGCGACGTCAATGAATGATGAAATATATGACTGGTGCAAACATCATAATCCTTGCAGGCGTGTTGTGTAAGAACATGGCAACATGCCACGCTCATATCGTGCTCGCGGCCGTTTTGCTGGCTCCACATATACTAAATTTGGTATCACATGACTTCAATAGATGTCGAAGGTAAACGACACATCCAAACATGATAGTCATGACACGGAATTAATGTACCGAATAATTTACCCCCAGCTCGTAACTTTGTGCTGATTTTAAAGTGGCATATCAACATTTATTATTCATGCTTCGCATATAATCGATTCTCACTGTACGTGAGATCTGCCAATTTTATTCTCTTGAACAGCTAGACAGAAACAGTGCAGAAAGGTGCCGCTACCGATCTTTTTTAGACATTAGCTGAATTGAGGCTTTTACTTCGTCAACCTGCATTGGAAAGCTAGTAAAAATGTTTAACTTGAGAGCGATCTCTTCTAAGACGACGGAAACGTCGCTATTCGTCGCCTGTCCATTCACTATAGCTTTCGGCGCTCTGCATATCGCACATCACTGAGTCCTACGCCCACAGTGTTTTTACTTTTTTTGATAATCATCTGGCTGTTTTGAAGTGTTTTTATTGAACTATGCTAGATTTTCTTGTTTATTGTGCTTTCAACAAGCTTGGCCAGGGGGCGCGTGCGATAGCAAAATCACGATCTCTCAGGCAGGTGGCGATGCGCGGATCGTGATAGTCTTGATCCCGATGACGCCTAATCGTCAATAAAAGTAATCATGTAGCAGTACCTAATCCTGATTGTGGTTGATCCGGATCGACACTGATCGCGATTAAAAGTGCCCGTGTGACAATGGTATAAGTGTTGCAGCCTGGTAATTTTCGATATGTTTCGGCTTGTTGAACTGCTATGACAACTGACAGCCTGTGTTACGACACCACCAGCTGCAACAGTTGCCCTCTTTTACACCGAAAACCTTGGCAGTTTCACTTTTATAATTCACACTCTTCTGGTTGCTGCTTAAAACATTTAGTCGTTCATGACCGACTTCGTTCACGGCCGACAGTCCAGGCTTGTAAATTTCGCCACTTTTTCTTGGTGTTAGCGCCTGTAGCATGCTTTCGAAAGGTTTCCGTGAATTTAATGCGCTGTGCTTAGTTTTTTTTTTTGTACAGAATCTGCAGCTTTCTACGTATGTTTATCATGATTGGCTCTATAACGGTCTGTATAACCTACTTTATTGTTTCTTTCAGCATTGACAAGGTGTTGACATTATACAGTCGCCTTTGGTTGCGTCTGCAATATCTGGCCAGTCTGGGCTAGTTTATAGTCTAGTTACGGTTGCGACGGTCGTTGCTTTTTGAGCTCCCCATGATCGCGTTCTAGGCCACTTATCCACGCCCACATTACATTTAGATATTCCAAGCGCGTGAGGTGTTGCGTTTGGTGGGAGTTACGGAGGATGTTGCTGGCCAGCTCGCTTTGTTCTTTTACTTTATTTTCTGCGCCTTCTTGTCTTTGCGCTCTCATTGCTTTGTTTGGGCCCGCTTGTGGTCACCATTCCTAGAGTTATAGCCATCTCAAGAGCCAGACCTGAATCGGAATGTGAACGGGAACCTGGACCGGGACTTGGATTGGGAGCTGAAACGAGCCCCTCTTGTTGGTGCAGAGTCCTGGCTGTCCGTGCTCAATCTGTGTCTCTTGAGTACGCCCGTGGTTTGTAGTGTGCTGCACTTGTGCGACAGCGGTGCACGGCCGGCCCTTTCGAGGGACGCGTTTGGGTTTTCTCTGAGCACTTTGATGCCACCGTGGGATAGCTCTAGCAGAGGTTACAGTATTGCCGTTGTGGGTTGATAACGCACACACGGCATTTCGCAACCATAATATTACGCGAAGCGCGGCAGTATTGATCCATCGAACGTGATCACTGCAGTTTGCGACAGTCCAA